GAGCAATTCCCTCAGCAGCATGCAATACATGGGCACTCTGCAGCTCACTCTGGCAACACTCTGTTTGCCATTTACTTTAATGGAATAAAACCCAGGGAGAGCAGCTCTGTGTAAAACAATACAACAGCCAGACAACAAACCTTAAATTAATAATGTAATTTCCATCAAGAGTAGTGTCAGGCCACCGACCTTTTAGAAATAATACCTTGGAGTGCTCTGCAGGTAGGAGGGAATTGCAGAATCATACATGTAGTCTGCCAGATTTACACATAACTTTATTACATTTCTGTTTGAAAAAAATAAAACTGCTCTTACTAGTATTGGCCAGGTCATGTAATACGGTATGGGAGTTGCTAAGTCATGAACTGAACCAATGATTGAGCACCTGGTGAAGGGACACAGCCAGCCCTGGGAGCACAGGTGAAAGGAATTCACCTGTGTGAGTGGGAGAGGTAGAACCAGGTTCTGCCCCTTCCAAGACTGATTTAAGGGCTGGCAGCCACAAGGGAAGGGTTTCTATCTGGAGATCCTTTCTGGTGGAGTATTTGGCAAGCCCTGATCCTTAGGACAGGTAAGGAAATCTTCCATTCTTTAACTGGAATGTGACCATCACCATTTTCCTGGGTATTTACTAACTGGTTATCTGCCACTGCCTTTCCCTAACAGTACTTAAAGAGCTCTAAGATTTTCACCCTTCAGCAGGACAATAACTCCAATTTCCAATGATAACTATGTTTGGTTTTCAGCATTATGCTTATGTGTTGCTTTTTTTTTTTTTTTTTTTTTGTATATACATACATCAGAATAAGTTCTGGGCTCAGAACAATGTCATTAAGGATCACTTGTCCCTGCTCACCTCCTTCTCTGATGAGATCAGAATGTGCACAGACAATGTGCTTGCTGTTCCTACCCACAAATCAATATTTGTTGCAGCAGGGAAGGAAAGGAGGGACAGAAGATGAAATAAGGTACTAAAACAGAAGGCAAAAAATAATTATAATAAAAAAAATATATATTCTAATGGCAATTCTCCTTTCTCATCCCTATTCTTTCAGGTGCTGTCTAACAAGAGCAAGGGAAAAACCACTGATGTCTCAGCTCTGCTGCTATAAGGTCTTCAGCAAGCTAAATATTGCTATTTGCTATTCAGCTCACCCATGCAATCAGTTGCTTTGCTTTTCTACAATTCATGAGCATAGACTCGCAGGGATCTCAAACAGTATTTCAGACCTACACTATAATCAGCAGAGGAAACATATTTATTACTGCCTTTATAATTGCTTTAATTCCTTTATAGTTAGATCTCAATTTTAATTATGAATAATTGCACTGACGGGGTCAGCAATGACTCCTGATTTCCAAAAATCAATGGTTTGAGTTGAAGGAAGGAACTCACCCCTTTGTCCTTGGGAAGACACTACATCAAACTACATTTGCTGGTCCAGATTCTGAGTTAAACACTGTACTCAGTAGAACTACATCAGTGTACTGGAGCTGAAGCTGTAAACACAAGACATTCTTAAATGAAGCCCTAAGGCTTCAGGTCGGCCACTTGTTCTATCTATCAGGAGAGGTTATCTTGTGTGGTGGACGTGGTCTGCATCTGGTTAACAGAGACACTGATGCTGACAATAATGACCCTAACTATAATAATTTCCACTTTAGTAACCTCAACAGTAGTATTTAAAATGAGGATAAAGTTTTATTTATCACAGACGGATGCCCCACTGTTTATGAGCACTGATTATGCAAATGAATTTTCTTGGAATTGAGGTTGCAATGCCTTCTGAACTATCTAGTTATTCCACCTTCGCCCTTGTTCCTTCAATATCATTGGAAATGAATGGGATTCATCCAACAGATATGAGACCCACAGATGATTTTTCCAGCCTTGAAATCTCACTGCTCTTCTATACAAATGCATAACCATAGCAAAGGCGCTGAAACATTTGTGGATGTCATCTATCTTAAATTTTTGTTAAAGCTTAGCCATGCTACTTAAGCTCGCATACTATTTTAAACGTATTAACCCAAAACAGTTTATTTTCTTATAAGCACACAAAATAGATGCATATTTTCTCTGTTTAATAGAGAGCCCATTCAACTTATTGTAAAATCAATCAACAAAGTTAGGGTTTTTATCTACTAATTTTCATCCCATTTTTTTGCATTTTACTACATTTTTTTAAATACTAATTAACTTCTTAGACTTCATACTTTTCCTTCTGTATTCAGAGCAGTAGAAATCCCCAGTCTCTCTTCCTGTAATCTGGATTTATTTAAATCGTTGGTTGCTATTTTTCATTTCTCAATCCAATTGTTCCAATGACTGTCACACTCCTTTTATCTTCCACTATCATTCTGGAATCAGCCTTATCATCAGCATTATCAGTGCCAGTAATGATTACATCTCTTCTTAAAACAGTAGTGCTGATACAAGACATTCCAGTACAACAGAAACAACTGTAAACTGGTTCTGAATATCTTCTTTCGTTGTCTGCTTCCTTAAGGGTACTGTTCTTACTTCTGTTTTGTACTTTAACCAATTGCTATCTGTTTATACATCTTATTTGCATGGTAGAAAAACTTAGCAGGGAAGAGGGGTACCATTTTGCCTTACACATTCATTGCCGATAGCAGATAACTTTTCTTTATTAACACTCTTGACTGATATTTTACCCAGTAAAATGTTCTGAAATGCAGATGTCAGAATAAGTATCTGTGTTACTTGAGGATCAGCACGGCTGAGCCACTAAAATGTCATTTCACTGCTTCAGTCTTTGTACTATCTTTTTCTCTTTTTTTTTTCCTCTCTCCTCATATCTGAGTCTCATTCATTCTTCCTGAGTTCCTCCTTCCTAAACATCACAGTCTCAAATACGTACACGAACACACACAGGCATGCAATGGAATGCAGGTAGAGAAGCATGCCATTACCATAGTACTGATACAACTTTATTTGCAGTTCCTTGACAGAACCTTACATTTAAGTACACTGTTCTCCATTTGCACCTTTGGCACCTTCTAGATGTTGTGTCGGCTCTGTGATCTCAGCTATTTACATTCTTTCAGCACCTACATGTTTGATTTTTAACACTGAGCTTTAGAAAGAGCTCAGAAAGCAAAGTGCTTTCATTGAGGGGGGGGGGGGGGGGGGGGAAGCTTTAATAAAGAATCTTAAGTAAGACACAATTCATTAGCATGTTTCCAATATTAAGTGGTAACTAGTATTCTGCATGAGGCAATTAATTTGTCTAAAATATTTCACCACAGATTTATGGGGTGATAATTTCATATTCAATATTCATCTCCTTCTTGGCCTTTTCTGTTGTCTGCCATGTTGGTAAGCAGTTTAGTGCATCTTCCAATCTTTGTGCATTCCAGCACCAAGCTGCATTGCTTCCTATCCTCATCTCCTCTGATTCAAAGTCTTGCTAGCCTCATGTTTTCAAAACAAGAAAGGCTATTTTAATTACTTTTTCCTCCCCTATGAAGACAGGCTGAGGGAAATGGGCTCGTTCAGCCTGGAGAAAAGAAGGCTGCTGCGACCTCATTGCAGCCTTTCAATACCTAAAGGGAGCCTACAGAGGGGAGGGGAATCAACTCTTTGAAAGGACTGATAACTGCAGGATGAGGGGAAATGGTTTTAAGTTGAGGGAGGGGAGATTAAGGCTGTCAGGGGGAAATTCTTTACCCAGAGAGTGGTGAGGTGCTGGAACAGGCTGCCCAGAGAGGTTGTTGCCCCATCTCTGGAGGTGTTTGAGGCCAGGTTGGATGGGGCCCTGGGCAGCCTGGTCTAGCATTGAAGGGAGAGGTTGGTGGCCCTGCGTGCGGCAGAGGGGTTGGAGATTCATGATCCTTCAGGTCCCTTCCAACCCTGGCCACCCTGTGATTCTGTGACTTAATTTTACAAGGTATCCTTAAAAAACAATCCCTCATGTTAGCTGTTAGTAAGCCAATACTGCAACCATATAAGTGCACTTGTAAAAGTGTGCCCATAAAGTGTATACACTTCCACTGCACTTGTGATTGCTGCAGCACAGTTCCCACCTTTGCATGTTAGCAAGGAGATCTGAACTACTGGTATTTGTTTTCCTTTTCTGGCAGATAAACAAACAAACCACACATTAATTTTAATGAGTACCTCAAGGTTTTCCTGTGAAAGAACTCTCAAGAATATTTAATAGCTGGGATAAACACTCAAAGTAAGAAACTGAAAGTATTCAGAATTTCTGAATGTTGTCCCTGTGGAGATCACATTGATTATTAAAAAACATGATATATGGAAAAGAGAGGAAAGGAGCAGAAGATAAAGCCATCTGTTTTGGGGAGCTCAGTTTTCTGGCTGCCCAACCAACCAGTGGCCATGTTGAGGCGGGATGCTCACTGAGGGGATTGCAGATAACCATTGGCTGTGGAAGATTTTGTTGTTAGACATTTTTTTTTTCTTTTTAATAGGATCTGTAAGTTTAAAAATAGCTTGGTCCCTACAAAACATAATAGAGCAGCTTCTTTGGTGTAATCCATTATTGCTGCTAACTCCATCAAAGTTTCTGGCATTAATACAGTGGCTATACTAAAAAAATATCTAACACTCGGGTCAATACATTAAACAAATGTTCGACAAACCTCAGAGCTTAGCACGATCTTTGAGGAAGCTGATGATGCAGGAAAGCCCTCACTTTGTGTGACTTCCTCATCCCAGAGCCTCACACCTTCTGCACGTAAACACTGGCTGTGATGAACCACTGAGAGGCTCAAAAGGAGTAAGAGATTGTACTGAAGACACAATCAATGCAATCAAATGTTGAAGTTCACACCGAGCATGGATTAGGATGAAGATAACCTCTTCTTTTCACTGCCTTAAATCCTAAGTTGGTAATGTTAAATTAACCAATGGGCGCAGAAGGCAACCACATCCATGATATGTTGGGTGAGGGGTGTTGAAATGAAAGTATTTTCAGTGAATGAGATCTTACCATGTTGTTTTTTTTTAATAGGGTAAATGGCTTTAACAGAAGGAGTAGAAACCAAAGTTAAAATATTCAGTTCATTGGGAATTTCAGAAAGAGCCCATCACTCTGCATCTCTACTTCTCCAGGTCAGTTTTCACTTTTGAGATAGTTTATTCTCCTTAGGAGATTAGGCAAAGTATCCTTAGAGGAGTATAAAAATGAAGAGCCTGAAAACATGTTTCATTTTATATGGTATGCGATGATGCAAAATTGGGGTAAAATGCCAAAGAATGAAATAGAAATGGCCAACAACTGTTTAATCTATAGTCTTTTATCTCTGTTACCATCTGAATCACCTATTCTCCAGTTGTTTGGGTCTATGAAAATGTAAGCATAAAAACTAAAATGTTTTCTGTATTTTAAAGCTTAGGCAATCTATTGGGCAATGGAACTTCTTTCCATATTTAAAAATAATATATAGTGTTTAAGAGGGCAACCAAAACAAGCCTGTGGTATAAACTGAAGATGAAGTAACAGACCCTATGACTGAATACAGCTTCAGAGAAAACTTAATTTTAATGCATCCCCAAATAAATTTACAGAAGGGTTGTGTTATTTATTGTGGTTCATGCATCCTGCTCCATGGTCCCTGGGTGGGTCCCTGCAGACTCTGTCCCTCACTGTGCATGTACTCTTCCTTTGGAGAAGAGAACTAGGCAGTGATTGCAGCACTCCTCTCGCATTTTTAGGCTTTGTTTTTTGCTCTTCCCCACCATAAACCTCCTAGGAGATCTTCAGAAAGTTGTTTACTCCTTCTCAGTCTTGCCATCCACAGACAGAGGAAGATAAATGCGATGTTGCAAAAATAAAACCATGGAAGGCTGCAAGCACTCAGCTACAGTGCAGATGACAACCGTAAAAAGTATCTTCAGTAGAGAGGTAGGTCATCCTCTGGGACTATGCAGGTAAGTAAAATGTGGCCTTATTCTGCTTTGTGAACATTTGCTCTCAAAATAATCCTTTTACTGGATCAATAGAACCACTTTACCGGCCAAGGCACTGTTCAGCCACATGTCCCACCCAGCCATTAGTCAGTGTGGTGTCAGGGCAATGCAGACACAGAACCACTCATTCCAGAACTAGGAATGTGTTTTACCTGAACACAAATAACTACACAGATCAGACTATGCGGTTGTTCCCCAAGCTTTCCACAGATTTACTCATATTAAGTTCTCATGGGGGTTTAGAGTGTGCACCATGGACTGGCTGCCGTACACTGCAGCAGATGGAAAGCAAATATATTTTCAAAAATTGCTTTGTACGCTTCTGTCACTTGTAGGCTTCTTGAGAGCACAAGGGGGAATGATGGTTTAAAACTGGGAGAGAGGTGATTTAGGTTAGATACCAGGAGGAAGTTTTCCACACAAAGGGTGGTGATGTATTGGAACAGGTTGTCCAAGGAGGTTGTGGATGCAACCCTGGAGCAAGAAGAGACATTCAGTAGAAATATTAAAATTCAGAATATCATCAAGACACGAGTCTTTTCTATTCAGCTCATCTGATACCATTTTAAAATCACGTGAAGTGGGCTACAACAAGTATTAGGTTTGAAGACATGGGCTCAGTGACCCGAATCCAAGAGATTCTGCAACACATAATGCATTTAATTTATTTTCTTGACCTAACATATAACATAGATTATAGTTTTAATTGTTTATTGAAACTTCTGGTTATGTACTCTACTGTCTCAAGCATGACATAAATAGGAAATCTGTTTGTTTCTGCTGGATGACTAAAGTTGAAGGCACATCCCTAAGCTACGAGAAAAATGGATTTTTTTCTTGGAGCAAAACCATACACGAATACAGAGTGAAATCCAAGCAGTACAACTCTTTACCCTTCATCTTAAACAAATACTGCTGCCCATTCTTAACCAAGGAAACACGGCTGAGTTTTGTATCAATCCCACGAGCTACATCTTTGTCAATCTACACTGCTTTTCTTTCCCATTTTTTCCTCTTTTCAGCAATATATGACCTTGGTCACATAGGACATGGTGAGAGGACAACTGAACTTCATATGGTACATTTCTGACCTGTCTTCACTGAGAAGCAAGAAGTATTTTTCACTGTGACGTGGCAGTTTTCAAAAAAAAACTTTGAAATTTTTGAAGTCAAGCTGGTAAGACAGGTAATGCACACTCAATGATATATTATTCCACTTTGTCCATTGCATATTCAGTAAATTTGAAGAAGAAAGTCAGTCTCCAAATCCAAAATAGTATTCCTTGGGGTTTCATTTAATACAAATAATACGCATTAACAGTGCATACTTTGGTTTTCTTGTGGGGTGATGCTCCATAACTTGCTCGTTCTTTGCTCTTTTAATAAGGTGTAGACAGCTGCTATGCATGCAGTAGATCCACTGCTTTAAAACTACTTCAAAAGAAATGCTGAAAGCTTTCATTTCCCTTTACGGGTAATATTAACAACGCACACTTAATAATTTATTTTTTTATTTTAGTCTGTTGGTGGATGAGCAGTTTTCACAGTGGCTGAACAGTTTTCACGGAATATTACCAACCTGCACTAATGATGTTTGCTTTCTCTTTCTAATTAGTTGATGGGCAGGTTTCTTACGAAATATTGTGCTTTGATAATAGCTAGGTTTGTTTTGCAGTGACTCAAAACCAAGAGGCATTCACAGTGCAGTGTAAATATTCACTAAAAATAGTATCTAACAATCCTGAAAATAGTGATTAAAGGAGCACTGGAAGTGTACACGTACTGAGCACTTCTTTCAAGGCTTCTTAGTACTGTCTGAATATACACTGGAAATGCTTGCTTCCTGCAAGCAATTGGTGGGAATTGCTGCCTCCAACTGTTGGTAGGAATTGAATTTTAAACCCTTTTATATTGACAGGAGTGAAAAGGGATAATCAGCAATAATCGCAACATCGGTCTTATTTGTTACCATCTTAAGGGGATAGGATTGAAAGATATAAATAGAGACCAACAGGTCCTAGAGACCTGAAGAGAGAATTCCCAAAGGGGGGAATTCACATTCAACCCAAGGGCACTCCGAGCATTAAACTTCCTTTCTTGCAATTCCATGATAACCCATTTCCATCCTTCCTCCCTGCAGTCTCCTTTCTGGTTTACAAGAAACCTTGTTAGAAGCATTTCCTCTACTTAATGGCTTCCTGGCTATTTTTTTCCTGCAATATAGGGCAGCACATTATTACAAAAGCACGTGATAGATTTAGGTATCATCGATTCTCTTTAAAGTAGGTTTATCTGATGGAAGACAGATTTTCATTGCCCAATCACCTCAGGGCCAGGAGATCTTTTCAGTACATTAACAATTATAAGTTCGAAAGTGTCCACCTAAAGAAGATATCAATACATCATCTCATATTGATAAAGTACAGTAAGCTTAAATGTTGCTTAATTGCTTAAGGTTTACAGTTTCTGGAAATGTTCAAAATGTATAAATGTAGTCATTCCAGAGGGAGAAAGCAAGAATAAAAAAGAAATAGAAGGAAATAGTTTTATCTGCATCTGCATTTCAACTGGAATTTATTTTTAGTTAATGATAGCAGACTCAAAAAAAATAAAATAAAATAAAAAAAATCTAAGCACTGAGCAATACCAGAAGTGTCATTTGAGTTAAACACATTTTCACTATCATTAATCATGGCAAAAGTGACAGAAGAAAAATGAGCTGGCTTGGTATATCTAATATATTAATTCTCTCTGCAGATTGGCTCAATGCATGAGCAAGTAAAAACAGGTAAACCTTCAGAAAAAAAGAGAAGGGATGTCAGTGGAAGGTTTTCTGTTACTATGAAATACTGTAATATTTTGATTTCTTCTCAAGGAAAGCTATAGAAGCTAAACAATCCACAGGCTCTTTCTTTCATTATGGTTGAATAGCTATAGTGGAAAAAAAGCTATGCCATAGCAGCTTAACCCCATTTGCGCAGTGCCTATGCATACATATTTTTTTTCCCCTTCAGTTCCTATGATGCTGGTAACAGATTTTTTCCTTTATTTCTCAGAGACCTTGATATCTTTCCCCCAAAGCCACCCTCAAGCTGAGATTTTCCCCCCAAATTATTTCTTTTCTGCTTTTTAGTTACAAATCTAACTTGTTGTTTGGTATGTTTTCCAGCAAAATTATGGCCAAGATGTTCCCTGACTAATGGTGAAACATCTGCAAGATAAGTGGAGGAAAGGATAGGTACAAGAAACTGTCTTTAGTTCAAGCAAAGTAGTAAGGTAATAATTTCGGAGCTGAGCTTACTGGAGAATTTTATTTCCTGATATGTTCCAACAGTCATACTGCACATATGGATCCTTCCTAAAAATACCCAATGGAGACCTACTTACAAAACCGGTGACTTAGTTGATATTATGAAGAAACAGTTCTGTGAAACTAGAGGAATCCGAAAATAGTGAATTAGGATCTTTACCGTCAACTTCAAAGTTGACTCAAAGGCATGAGGAAGGAAAGCAAAACAAAGAAGTTAACAGAGTCTAAGGATTAGCTCCTTTCTGCTGGAAACAGAAAGTTCTTTCTGATTTGATCAAAGCTGCTATATATGGTTCTTCTACTGTACCATGCTATGGAACGATGAGCTCCTGGCTGAGCAGGGAGATGGATAACTTTGTACAGCTCTCAGAATGTACTGTCCCAAGTTTTTTCATGCAATCCATCTGCAGCTTGGTTCTTCCTTTCCTTACCTGCATGTTACAGACAGCATTTTACTGATGCTAAAGATCTAAAAAGGGCTGACAAAAATAGGGCCAGTAGTATAGTCTAAATCCATAAAAAATAATAGAGACGTAGTAGAATTTGCAAAACCACGCAAAACTTAGAGAACAGAGCAGAGTTATCAGATTTGTGTCCTGTGTTATATTCATGCTGTCATCTTTTGGCAATATAAAATATGAAGTAATTTTCTGATTTATTAGGGATATCATCTGCTTGCTACTTAGGCGTGATATTGTGAACAACTGTACAGCAGGAGAAAGGTAGAACCACAAATGAACCGCGGCAGGTAAACTGCATCCAGGCAGCACAACACCAGCAGCAATTGGAACTTACCGAGCGAAACACTTAGCAAACAATGTAAGACATAATTTTTAGTTACCAAGAAAGTAAAATTAAGTCACGCTGAAATGACAAACAAAAAGTAACAATAAAAGGGCATTAAGAACGAGAAAAGATGCACTGTGGACTCTATACGATTCCAGTAACGCCTTTCGTTTTACAACCCAAAGCATTAAAAGAGACAGCACTGTTAAGGCTGATTTACAGCAAGCCCACGGTCCATCTGCTTTGGAGAGCCAAGACACTAAATATAATTTTAAAATTAAATAGGAAGATAAACACTGATCAGGGACATCGTTTTCTCTTTTAACCTGATGAAGATTTCTTCTCGTCCTGTATTTCTGCTAAATGGTAAATGAAATCAGAATAAAAAAGAAAAAAATAAAAGACAAGAATTGCATAACTAAACTGAAAGGTGTTATAAGCTACCAACGGTTTTTGAGAAGAATGCTTCAGCTTCTCTAAAACTGGTTTCATTATTATTGGGAAAACTCTACAGTGGTTCCTCAGGTGAGCATGGAACATGGCTCATTATGTCAGCAGCTGCACTGCAGTTAATTTAAAAGACCTGCACTGCTGTGTAATTACAATGTCCTGAGGGATATCCTGAGAGCTATTTACAAATACATCTCCCTGAATCATAATTTTGTTCCTGTTTGCTTGCAACTGGGGGAGAACATTAATAACTCTGGAGTCAGGATTTGTTTCTATAATTCATTTTAGTCTGAAAATGCTGATGTCATCAAGCCAAAATTTTTGTCAATGCAGACAGTCATCAGGATTATTTTTTGGATTATTTCTGGAAAACAATTTTTCAGTTTGGGAATCACGCTAATTATAACAACTGTGAGATTGTCAAAAGTGAATGGCAATGGTCTTAGCCAATGGAAGCAATACATTTGTGGGTCTTAAGAAGTTTTATTTATTTTTCATTCTCATCTCTTTTCCTGAAAGACTTCAGACTTTCGTTTTTGTGGACTTGTTGATGGTACAGATTTCTTACTGAATTCTCAGTTCTGGAGGAGATAATTCCAGGAAAATGGAGGGAAGTGTAACTTAGCAGATGAAATAAGGATGCTTACATAAAGCACGTTCTTATTGTAATGGGCTGGAGTAGGTTCTCAGACCATAGAGATCAATTAGGAAGGTGAAAGTCTACCAGAAACATCCTGTATAGGTTGCCAAACTCAATATACATGTGGAGATACAGTACACAAATCAGAAAATTAGCAATGTGAATCTGTTTATACCATGCCCAAATTGATATTCAGGTCATGCAGCTCCATAGTTTTTTGCATGTGTTCCTATAAGGTGGTCAATCAGATTTTTCTTTTCCCCACGTGATTGTGTCACATGCATACCTATGAACTGGCTCAAGACACAAGATCATGAAATTTGCCATGGTCAAACTGGGTAATTTTTTTCTTTCCTTCTCTCTTAAGAGAATTATCTGATGTAGAAAGCTCATTTTCATGCTTTTCAAACTGAAGAGAGACCAAATAAGTCAATCTCTGTACCACCCTTCCCATGTTATGGACTTTGAATATTTGGATACTGCTGAATGGGTCATGGAGAAGCAGCTTTCAAGAACACCTCTGCACTACAAGGTGCTCATACATCTTCATTCAGTTATCAAACCACTGTGAAAACTTTGACTTGAAAAATCCCAAATAGAAATTAATTCTACCTTTTGGCACTTCATAAATATTCTTCTTCAGAATTCCACATTTCTGCATTTATTTGCTGGCTACAACACAACTTAAGAAAAAAGTATCTTTGACAATAAAGAAACATTTGAAAAGACTTTTTCCTAAGACAAGCTTAGTCATGTACTAAGTTGTTTATTTGCTCGCATAACAACAGAGGAAGAATCGTTTTATTGTCAGGCTCATTTAAATGGAGTTTCTTCAAAGAGCCAAGAATGGAAGGAAAGTGCTTTGTTATAATAAGGTCATGATACTTGTTAAATGTTTTACATACTGAAGGTTAAATTCTTATCTCTATAAAGAAAAAAGTATTTTAGCTGTCCTTGAAAATTGAAGAAAAAAAAAGTTTTCAAAA